GTTGTGGGTGTAGGCACTGTAAAACATTTTTACAACACGTCTTTTACCTGACCACGGCTTTGTTGTTCGACCGTCAAGCAAACATCGAGCCTGCAAACTTTTTATGCTCTGTGTTCATACGCACTTGAACTAAGATAAAGATAATTAGTGTGTTTTTTTTTTTAACTTTTTGTGTCCGTGTTCTTAAAAATACATAAACAAGCTGCTTGCCTTAAGGCGATGTAATTTCTTCAAGATGTTCCAAGCGTTGGTTCCCCTGTAACTCTCAGTATGAGCGGTGTGAGTCAGTGTATTTCAGCTCCATTCTGTGGAATATCTAACAATTCCCAGCATCTCTCTTTGTCCAAATATCATCCGTCAATGTCATTTGAAAGAGGAATTTGTATATGTCAGAAACACAAAGGGGCTAAATTAGGAGCCTTGTTGCTCGCCAAGTACTGCAGTGTTTTTTTATGAATGCAGTTCAAGCGAAAATAGTTAATCGGGTCTAATCAAAGGATACAATTTGAGAATTCGATTTTTTCACATTTTGTAGTTTTACAAATATTAAACTATTATTATTTAGATGAATCTAACAGCTTTCTATTCTCACGTTTCTATTTTAGAATTTCTAAATCTTATTGTTTTTAAAATAAGTGAAATATTTAGTAAAAGTTAAATAATTATACATAACCAAATTGACAAATGACGACGCCAAACTACAATATCTCTTATCAGGTGACAGTTTTCCTCATTAATATTGAAGGTAAACTTCTGTCTAAAATGAGGTGTGACACTGTTTGCAAACACTGCAACAAGATGCGGATGTGGACTCCTTCTGGAGAGCACGCCGTCTGTGGCGTGGTGTCCAGTTACAGCAGTGACGACGGGGGATTGCTGACCACCTTGCCTCTCTCACTAATGACTGCAGGGATCAGACAATGTCCAGGGATCTTCTGACACACAATTCCCAATCTGTTGTTCACCTGCACCTGGTCATTCACTGCTGATACACACAACACACACAGGCTGAGAGAAAAGCCTGCGTGTGACCTCTAACACCTCTGTGGCACCCTTGAATGTTTGCTTGTTTTCCCCTCAAACAAGCCAAGATTTAAAGGAGATGTCTGTAACTGTGGCCGAGATAATGTAAAAACAAACAGAGCCCATTGATATCGGGTGATGCTACAGGAAGTTGTCAGGGAGCCACAATAGAGGGGGCAGCTGGAGGTGGGGAGGTCTGTGGGACATGTGGTGGCAGGGGCTGCTGCAGGACAATGGGAACAGGTTTGATCTCTTAATTAATGGAGGCTATTCTCTGCTGCTGCAGGTACTGAATTTTAATGCCCACAATTTTTCAATGGGATTTCTTTAGTGGCAGAGAGGAGCTGTAAAAGCTGCATATTGATCAGATTGATGAATTTAATTTCCGACCAGAGCAAATATTGTGTTATTGAAACTCTTGTCAGGAGTTAAAAGTTAAAGAAGTTTGAGGAACTGAAGTTGTTCTTAGAAAAACAGAGGGAAAAAGGCACCATTGATTGATGGAACTTCTCCATTAAGGTTCACCTGAGATGCTCTGTTTTATTCTGCTGCAGTGACTGTGCCTGTCTGGTTTTTGATATTTATATTCTGATGTTGTGTTTTTTTTTTTTTTTTCATGTAGTTTTCTATGTCCGGACTTTATTTAAGAAAAAAAAATCCCAATAACAAATTCTGTATTCTCAATGGAAATCGTTTTTGGATACGCATATTTGATTTGGCTAAAGGTTTTACACCGGATGCCCTTCCTGACGCAACCCTCACCAGGCTTTATCTTTTTTATTTATCTGGGCTTGGGACCTGTACTATAGGAATACTGGCTTGTTTACCCTAGTGGCTGGTTTCTGTATTGTCAATGAACAATATCAAATACCTACGAATATGAGATTTTCATGTACTTAAAGTAGGACAACTAAAAACATGGTCACACACAGCACAGTGTGCATGACTTGATTCGAGGAATATGTGGCTGATCACTTTATTTCTTTGCACACGAGGCCAGCTTATGACCATCCCTTTAATCAAGCTCTTAATCTTTCAGGACTTCATCACGCCGTGAATAAAGACACACACTTTTGAACACTGTATTGTAACCTGAGTTAAAAGCTTCAATGTAGTTGATAAAACTCGAGCAGGCAGTGGTACATATATTGTTACATCATGTTAAAATAGATTTATAAACAAAATGTAAGGTCTAAATTGAGAGAATTCTCTGAGTTCAGCTTCTCACAATAGATTATATCTTTGTTACTGTGCTGTTCCATGAAAGTGTAGGAAATAATACTCCAGTTTTGACAAAGGTTCATTTGCATTTCCCTGATAAACTCACTAAAGAAATGTTAATCAAATAAAAGTAATCAGATTTGAACTAGTGCTGCCTGTGTTTTTAGGACTTGTTTTCATAAAAACTTGGTTCAAAGCTCTGGAAACAAGTAGGCCTACAATTTACACCATGCCTGTTAATCTAAAAAAAAAAAAAAAAACAACAACATATGATTAAATGAGAGGTAAAATCATCACACCAGCACCATCCACTTTAAGGATCTGTTAATGAATTCTGTTCAAGACTGAAGAATCCTTATAAAACTTAGCTCGTCGTTTAACTCGTTGTCTTCTGGCGCTGTTGAGAGTTTCCATCTCCATCTTCTTCTCTCTCTTTCTCTGTCTGCATACAAACACTGTCACGTGCGCGCGCGCTAAAAAAGGGAGGGGAGAGAGTCGGAACGCACACGCGCGCGCACACGCACAGCTGACCCAGATGAAGGCCCTGCTCTTCAGTTCCTTGTGAGTCTTTACGCATCGGGTCGATCAGGGAGCAGAAACCCAGCACCACGTGTTGATTCCGGTGTCACACAGTCAACCGGGCTCTCCAGTCACCAATACACAGAGTGAGGAGAGGGGAAGAGGGAGGGAGGCAGAGAGAGAGAGAGAGAGAGAGAGAGAGAGAGAGAGAGAGAGAGAGACCTAGAAAGGAACAGTCATCATCACTACTGCGGGTCTGGGTGGAACATTCCCCTGCATGAACAGTACGCGCACAGTGCGCAGAGGCGCACAGCTTTCTCGGCGTCTTAAAATCCATAATAGTAAATAATAAAAATAGTAATAATTAAGGGTACTTTTCGGATTTAGCGTGATGTTATCAACACGGTAGCGGTCTTTTGTAAAAAATTTAAATACGCACAATTTTGATCCCAAAATTAAATTAATATTTTATTTCTAATGAATGCAAAAACTCATCACAAATATATTTAATACATCAGATCAAAAGTCAAAGCCATGGACTTTTTATATAACAATAATAATGACAATAATACTGTTCTTGGAGAACATTTTATAAAGTTTCCCCCTGTTTCATACTGGCCCCCGTTGTTAAATACAATAAATCATCCTAGCGTATAGTTCGAATTAACGCGATTTTTATTGATAAAATTTTTTTAAAGTTCAATGTTATTTGGTATCCGTCTGTTAGCTTACGGAAGTTTTCTGATTTGAACATTTTTCTTTAGCTGACGAAATATTAATACGTAATAATATCATTTATTCCTCGATATATTAAATACAGGTCAGTTTCAGGCCCCACACTGTAAACGTCGTTACTGGTGTTCATTTTTACAATTTTTCTGACATCCATCGGAAAATGAATTAAATTATTATGAAAAATTGGAAAAATATGAAAACTATTAAATCATAATTAAATATTTTAATGCTGAAAATGACATGGTTAAAACAAAACACTTTGTGAGAACTTTCCCCACCCTCTGACTTCGACTCATACATTTGTATTTATCTGTTGTTGGGTTCTGGACACTGTGTCCCACCCACTGTGTCATTCAGCCCCCGATTGTTAACACTGTATCCTCACTGTCCCCAATGAATCCCATTTAAAATGTCCCTCGCTCGGCTGGACTGCAAATCACCCTGTTTACAATCTCACACCAACACTCACATCAATTAACTGCCCATTGATTTCCCCGCCCGGGACATTACAATATTGCAAACCCTGTGTCCTCCTGCAGTTTTAGGTTTGGTACCCAAAATGTACCAGGCATGGCATGTAGACGACATT